CAGCTCTGAAGGCCTAAAGCCCCTGCCTTGCCCTAAACCCTAAACCCTAAACCCTAAACCCTAAACCCTAAGCCCTAAACCCTAAACCCTAAACCCTAAACCCTAAACCCTAAACCCTAAACCCTAAACCCTAAACCCTAAACCCTAAACCCTAAACCCTAGCTCTTCCGTCTCACAAGGACGGCTCCGGGCAACGACTTCGACTTGCCCTGCTCTCGCAGCTTATCGAGGCGCACCTTGCGCAGTGCTAAGGTTTGCCTTAGTGGGTCTGTTTTTTTTTTTGAGTTCGGGGTTTGGGGTTTAGGGTTTAGGGTTTCGGGAAACTCCACTCACCTTCAGCTTGTGCAGCATTTAGCGCTCAACTTGTGGGTTCGTAACGCGCTGTACGGAAGTTACGGTAAGTGAAGCCCTAAACCCAAAACCCTAAACCCTAAACCCTAAACCCTAAACCGTAGTCCCAGGCAGGGCTTTTAGAGCTTTCGGGCTTCGATGTTTTAGGGTTCAGGGTTGTAGGGCCCCCGAGGTCTTCAGAGGCTTTGGGGTCCCCAAACCCAAGCTCGAAGCCCTCAGGGTTTAGGGTAAATTTAGGGGGGTAGGGTTTAGGGTTTCACAGCATATCTGAGACTCTACCGGAGCATCGCAATCTGCTAGTTCCTTCTGCTGGGTAAGCTCCGCTAGCCAAATGAAGGTCACGTAATTGCCGAGTCACTCCGGGACCTAGCCTCTTGCATCATGGGTTCCCTACTACCCCTTAACTAGGCTTAATTATCCCTAAATGGGAGTGAGTTTTTTTTCCGGGCTTGTAACAGGCGCCGGGGGGTCCCTCCGCGACAAAGGTTTGTAACAGACGGGCCCCGTCCGCGACAACCCTCCCCCGCGACAAGGCTACAATACCATTGAATTTTCTCATTGCCAAACTCGATGCGACCTTGATGCATGTCTGCAGCAACTTTCACTCTCAGTCGGCGACAAGGCCTGCGACAGGGAGCGACATACCCGCGACAACCCGCGCGACTGCTCGAGCCAGCAGGTGCCCATCCGTAGGACAACCTTGAACGAGAAGCCCAGGGTTTATAGTTATGTACAGGGTTCAGGGTTTAATGGCTCTCCGGTAAAATCCCTGCGGTCCCTAAACCCTTCATCCGAAACCCCAACCCTAAACCTAAACCCTTTACCCTGAACCCTTACAAAGCCCACATAAGAAAATTGGGTTCAAAGTAGCGGCGCGACAAACGTATGAAACAACCTGCCCGCGACAAGGCTTGTAACAGAGGGGGCGTGGGACCCCCCACGACAACCCGAATTTTGACCCACTGCCAAATAGCCATAATTATGGGGGGAACCTAGGGGGGGTAGTATAGAGGGGGGTAGTAGGCAGGCTTTGAGGCTTCAAGGGAGATCAGGCTTTGGCCGCCCCTAGCTTTTTGGTGGGGTTCGGGGTTTAAGGCTTAGGGTTTATAGGGCCTAAACCCTAGACCCTAAAACCGAAACTCCGAAACCCTGAACCAGGTTTAGTTCATAATGAACGGTTGGGGGATTATTGTTGGCGCGCTCGCGCCTGGCGATCCCTGCAGCACTTGCTCAAGATTCCCTTAAGGAACCTGCTTAAAAAACTCAATCTCTATATATGTATTTATTTAGCTCTGTCTTCCTTAGAACCTATTTTTTCAACAATCGTACTCATGATGATGTTCATAGTAAGAACAGCTAGACATCAGAACCCATAATCCATTCAGGGGTGGGGGGGAGGGCTTTGAAGCGTCTCAGATACATAGACCCGAACTCTTCCGATATGCAGGTCATCGATGAGCTCCGCCGAAAGGGCTATCAGGCTGCGGGAGACGTTGTCTAGGGTTTAGGGTTTAGGTTTAGGGTTTAGGGTTTACGGTTTAGGGTTTCGGGCTCAGGGTGTCCTCAGCTTAGGTAACCGACAGGTGCCCTGGAATCTGAAAGCTCAGGGATCCCCGAAAGAACACGAAAGAGACTGGGCGCGCTATCACGCCCCCTAAACAACCCTAAACCCTAAACCCTGAAGCAGCTGCCCCTGGAAACCCTGCCTTCAAGAACAAGCCCTGGAAAAACGCTCCGGGGGTTGGGGGGGGGGGGGGGGGGGGGCCACATTCTTTTTTGGGGTGGAAGGGGGGGGGGGGGTTTAGGGTTGGAGGTTTGGGCGGAGGGAGTGGAGCGCGGGACCACATACTAAGACCCCGTAGTTAGTACTGGGAGCCCTAAAAGCAATCCTTCTGGCGTGAGGTGGTGCTGATCTCTTCAGGCTCCTCCTTTTGATTTGTTCATTGCTCGCCTGCCTGCGCTGAGGACTTGGTTTAGGGTTTAGGTAAGCCCCTCGTCTCTAGAGTCCCCCTGATCCTCAACTGCCACAACTCGCCCTGGAAACTGAATCTTTGTGTGGCGACGAAACAACCCCAGAAGTTCTTAAGTTTAGGGTTTGGGGTATAGGGTTTAGGGCATCGAAACTTAGATTGCATGCAGATGCACACTCTGAATGCTAATGTCCCTGGTTAGACCCAACACAGCCTAGAGTGCCTGGATAGGCATAGGGCTTTCCATGGGGGGATATGCGTCGTAGGACTCTGAAATTGAAGTCCATTAGGGGTCAAAGTCCTTTAACACCCACGCCTGCCAACCCTCAGCTCGAAATCCAATCATGGACCCGAAGCCCGATAAACCCCATGCAAGCCTTCGAAGCCCTGGATCATCTTACTGGCTCAAAACCCAACTTTTCAACTTTTTGGGCTTCTTGTAAGGTGGTTTATTCTGAAAGTTTCAACTTTTATATCCTTGGGTTTCGGGCCAGCAAGTCCTTGCCCTAAGCCCTTAAACCCCAAGACCCTAAACCCGAACCCCAACTTCCGAAACCCTGCAAGCTCTGCACACCTCTGAACCCTAAACCCCTCCAAAAAAAAACAACCCCCCCCCCCCCCCAAAAAAAAAAAAAAAAACAAATAACAAAAAACAAAAAGGCAAAAATCCGTTCTATGTTTCGGGTTTACATAATAACAAGAATGTGGTACATGGACCCTTAACGGGATGGTCAAAAGTACTTCCAGGAGGCGTTCCTTCACGAAGGTTCAAAGTTTTTCGTATGCCGGGGCTGGGTTTGGGTTGTAGGATTGTCAGGGTTGTGTGTTGGGAGGTTTTAGGGTTCAGGGCTTGGGTTGTGGGATTTATTTGGGTGTGGGGTGGAGGTTTTTGAGGTGTTAGGGTTGAGGCTTCGGGGCCCATCGTTCGGTTTAGGCCACTAGCTGAGGGCCTGAAACTGAAACCAGTCAAACCCGAAACCTTAAACCTTAAACCCTAAACCCCCAACCACCTCAAACATATCCCAAAGAACCCTCTAAACGACGCCTCTATACTCCGCGAAGCCCAAAAATAGGACCCAGATCGTCCTTATTCCTTTTTTCTTTTGGGGGTTAGGGCTTATAGGGTTTGAGGTTTCTAGGGATTCCCTATGATTCCCTTATAAGCCTCTCTAAACTAACAGGGTACCTTTTTCTTTCCTAGCAAGTTGCTCTTGTATCTAGAAAACCAAGCCCAACTCCGTTAACGCCGTTCAACCCCTCCTTAAACGCCGTTCAACCCTAACTCCTTTAACGCCGTTCAACCCTGACTCCTTTAACGCCGTTCAACCCCAAAGCCTAAACCCCAAGCCCTAACCCCAAACCCCAAACCCCAAACCCCAAACCCCAAACCCCAAACCCCAAACCCCAAACCCCAAACCCTAAACCCTAAACCGTAAACCCTAAACTCTAAACCCTAAACCCTAAACCCTACCTGGCTCTCTCCGGAGGCGCTGTGGGCATGGGTTGCATTAAGCTGGGAATCCCCAAGCCGACCTCCCTCCGCACCAAGCAGGCGAGACTTGGCGAGTGGGGAGGGGGGGTTTAGGGTTTAGGGTTTAGGGGTTAGGGGTTAGGGTTTAGGGTTTAGGGTTTCGAGTTTAGGGCTTTGGGAGGGTGGAGGCTTCAGGGTTTAATATGGGCCAAAACCCTATAAGCCCTATGCAAGGACGCCTTGCAATAGCGCAGTCACGGGTGCGGCAACCCGTGGGGAATGGAAGCCAGGCCTGGATTCTTGCTGGCACAGAGACCCCAAGCTCGTAAAGAGATTAACTTACTATTGTCAAGCCGAAAAGCCCGACAAGCCGTCCTATAGAACCGCCTAAAGAGTGTTTAGGGTTTAGGGTTTAGGGTTTAGGGTTTAGGGTTTAGGGTTTAGGGTTTAGGGTTTAAAACCTTATAAGGTTTGGAGCTTAGGAGTTCAAGGGTCGCAGTCGCAGGCCGTTGCTGCCGCCGGACAAAGTCAGCTCATCCGCATGTATGAGGACCCCCTGACCTGCGCTGCCTTTCAGGGCTTCGGAGGCACATATATACCTTGAGGCTTATATCCTCTACCCATTCTTTGAGCTTATTCCTTTATGTATGTATACATATGTACTATGTACACATATATTCCTTGATTCATGTTAATGTATTTATTACTATTTATCCATTTTAAGAGGGGCGACCGAAGTTCTTTAGTCCGGTATCTTGTGCCAGTAAGGGAGGTACCCTGAAAAATGGGGGGGCAGTGTGCAAGCCACTCGGTGCGGGGTGTTTCAAGACCCTTGCGCACGGTTTCTTCCAGACGCCGAACCCTGTACAGGTCCGTGTGGAAGATGGGCTGTTTAGGTTTATATAGGGTGTCATTGACGAGCTTATAGGACGTCAAGACTTCGGAAAGCGAGTTTCGGGTTTCGGGGCTTTTCAGGTAGCAAGGCTCATGTATTGCTAGAGGCGGCTGGCCCCAGCCCTGAAACCCTGAACCCCAGTCCCTCAACGCCCGTGCCTTGACCCACAGCGCTAACCAAAAATTAGATTTCGGGTCCAGGGCTAGTTTGTAGCAACCACCCTAACCACCCTAAACCTGCTTTTCTCCCGAAGGATCTGTTTGGTACTCTGCGGATAAACGTTGCGCAGCTGCTGCTGAGTCAATCGGACTTCATGGACAAGGAGCACTGGACAAACGTGATCCTTGTCGTTCAAAGCCATGCTTCTGCCAAGAGCTTTCCGGTGTACGGCTTTTCAAGGGCGAACGGGCAAGATTTTAGGGTTGTGGGTCTATACGAAGATTGGGCAGGAATTAACTGGGGTACCCATATACCCATAAGAAAGGGGGGAAAAGAACACCAGAACTAAGGGTTCAGAGATTAAAAGAGTCCATGGTACCCACATGATAATTGATCGTTCATTTTGTTTCGGGCTGTGTTTCCCTAACTCCCTTCAACAGGCCAACAGAACGTGTTACAAGCCCCCTGAGCCCGAAACCCTAAACCCTAAATGGCTCCCCAGAACTGCCAGAAATTGGGCCTACTGCCTCTGAGGAAGTCTACCATCATTGAATGCCTCGCACCTGGGTGTCCGAACCAGTTCGCGGGGCGTGGGGGAGTTCAGGTAGGGGGGTGGGGGGTGTTCAGGTAAAGGGGTTTGGGGCATAGGGCCGAGAGCTAGGGGTTTAGGGGTCTCGTCGGTAGTGTAGGAGGTAACCAAACTCCCAGGCTCCAACGCGCCATAAACAGAAATCAAGCCCTTAACCACCCAGCCCTCAATGCCCACTTGGAGCATCGGGCCTTCGTAATTTGGTTGTTCTTCAGACCCGATTCTGCAAGTAAACCAGGGTTTAGGGCTTCGAACGAGCCCAGTCAATCCCTGCGAGTCCCCGTGCGCAGTTCCTTTTTGAGTCTACGGTTAGGGCCTAGGGTTTAGGGATAACGAAACCCGAACTTCAACTAAAGAAAATACCTCCCACTTGGTAGCCCAGTAACCATATTGTGTATTTTGTACCCTGTTTGGACTCGGTTGCTTTACAGGGGAACCAAATTCTAAACCCTGAAACCTGAACCCCTAATCCCTAAACCCTAGAAACACACCTTGCTGTCTGAAACTTCTTGGGGCGACAAGTTTGACCTCTGGGTTTTACCTGCGAAAAGATTGGAAACCGTAATGCGAGCCAGAAAACGAGGTACTCACCCGAAAAAGAAGTGCACTTCAGGTACACCCCGTTGAAAGGTACAGAGCACAAACCGTGGTCAAACCTCCAAATGATGGTTCCCTTTGTCACCTTCTGTGGCTTACTAGGCTGCTGCTTTTTTTGTTTTGGCGGAAATTTTCCTATTTTCCTTGTTTGGGTTTCTAAGGGACTCTCTATATTTTTAGAGGGAGGGAGAGAGAGAGAGAGAGAGCGAGAGAGAGAGAGAGAGAGAGATTTTTCAAAGGGTTTAGAGGCCAACCCGGTTTTAAGGTTTAGGGTCCTTACCTTCTAGGCCCCTTATTCCCTTTTTTTGGGGCGTGTAGGTTCCCTTCTAAACCCCTTTAAACCAAAAAGGGCACCCCCAAATTTAATCCTAGGTTACTCTTGGGTCTAGCCTTAAACCCTAAACCCTAAACCCCAAACCCTAAACCCCAAACCCTTGTTTACGTCGTTTTTTTGGGGCCCCTAATGAAGTGCATTCAAATGGGGACCCACACGATTTAGGCGCTTGGGGTGGTACCCATCATCAACGAGAACGACTCCACCAACACGGCAGAGCTTCGTTTTGGCGACAACGCTCCTCGGCAGCAAGTTCTTCCGGCAGTAGTTCTTCATCGGGAACATCTGGGAATGAAGCAAACCCTAAACCCTAAACCCTAAACCCTATTTTGGTATCACCCCCAATATACCCTGTTCAGGGGGGGGATTTGATCATGTCCCTGTGCAAGCCTTTCAAGGGTTCCATGGCGGGGACGGTTTAGGGTTTAGGGTTTAGGGTTTAGGGTTTAGGGTTTAGGGCTTAGGGCTTAGGGCTTAGGGCTTAGGGTTTGACCGGTACCTGATTGCCTCCTTCCCTGCTAAGAACCAGCAAGCGTTCGTTGGGCTTCACGTGGTCACTTCCCTAAGCTATGGTCCCTTTTGGGACTGTTGGGCTCCTCATTATAATTTAGGGTTTAGGGTTTAGGGTTTAGGGCCCCTCTTGTTCACAGCACCCGCAAAGGGACCCTGTTTTGGGAACTGACCATGTGTAGGGTGGAGAGCTGTGAGCTGAAAAAGGTTCGGAAGAGTGCAGTAGGGCTTAGGGCGCTAAGACCACAACTCGAAACCCTAAAGCCCCAACCCTAAACCCTAAACCCGAAACCCGAAACCCTAAACCCTTCAACATGTTGAAAGGGAAGCTGCAGCCTCTCCGTTCGGGGCATGGCTGCTGCATTCTTATTGCCTGTCTAAGGGATGAGCAGTAGTTTATAAGGTTTAGTTTTTTTTTTTTTTTTTTTTGGGGGGGGGGGTTGTGTTTTTGTTTTGTGTGTGTGTGTGTGTTTTATTTGTTTATTTCATTTTTTTTGTGTTGTTTGTGTTTTTGTGCTTATGTTAAGGTTTTTAGGGTTTAGGTTTGAGGTGATGGGGCTTTTGTGTTTATGTTAAGGTTCCGGAAAGTGTATCGTGTATGCAGAAGCTACCTCATATGCCGCTGCTCACTTTGCTCATGCATGCCCTGAAGCATAAGCAGTTGGGTCTCCTTGGGATAGTGAAGGTTCATGGGTAGCCATAAGAGCAGGGTTGTAAGACTCCTTGTGCTTAAGGTTCTAACCTGGTATCACTTTTTTCTTCCCCTACGCTCGAACCCAGTCACAACTATCCCCTGAGCCCTAAATACAAACCCAAAACTCTAAACCCTAAAACCCGAAACCCTAGGCCCTAAAACCCAGTCCCCACCACCTAGCCAAGGACAACCTCGCAGCACTCACAGCTGTCCAGCTTGAGGCGGATGCGCTGTGCCGCACGGCCCTGGTATGGAATTGTTTTTGGGTTTATATAGGGGTTTCCTTATTATAAGGGAATCCTAGGTCCCCTATTTTCGGGAATCCCTATATTTGGGTCGGCCCATGGGATACTTTACATGTTTTTAGTTGGGAGTTGAAGAGGGTCTATACAGGTAGGAGGATGGCTTGCAATTCGTTTTAGCATTGGAGGCCCCTGTATAGAACCTGCACAGAATCAGCCCCAAGCCCCAAGCCCTGAACCCTAAACCCCCTAAACCCTAAACCCTAAACCCTAAACCCTAAACCCTAAAACCTAAACCCTGAACCCCAGCCTAGGCCTGTTTACAGATGTCAACTGCGTCTACACCGCGAACCCACGGACCAATCCAGATGCCAAGCCTTTGTACCAGGGCTGGCACTTCGGGTTTAGGGTTTACAGGGTTTATCGGGTGTTCAGTGTTTATAGGGTTTATAGGGTTTATAGGGTTTATAGGGTTTATAGGGTTTACAGGGTTTATAGGGTTTATAGGGTTTATAGGGTTTATAGGGTTTATAGGGTGTTTAGTGTTTTTTCGGGTCTTTAGGGTTTAGGTTTTGGGGTAGTTGGGGTGGCCCGTTTCAGATAGAGGTTCACTGGGATGACTGGCTTGGGCGGGGACGTGTGAGCGGGTTTTGTGAGCGCATACACAGCTCCGAGAGCGACATGGGTGTGCTGGTCCTAAACCCAAAACCCTAGGCAGCCTCGCGACTTCTTAGGGTTTTAGAGTTTAGGGTTGTCCGACGTGATAACTGAAGACCTGAAGCCTAACCCTCCCTGTGCTCCAGGCATGTGGTTGCAGAGCCGTGGGCATCTTGGCTGATCCTAAACCCTGAACCCTAAACCCTAAACCCTAAACCCCAAACCCTAAACCCTAAACCCTGTGGACTTGCTGGCTTGTAAGATGTTAGGGGTTATAGAGTCCCCTTAAAGCATTGCACGTAGGGTCTAGGGTTTAGGGTTTAGAGCTTAGGGTCGAGGGTTACACAGAGTCCCCCTAAGGGATTATAAGGTTGAGGGTTTTGGGGCTTGCTATGGGTGGGAGTTCAGGCGCTTCATCACCCTAGTCAGTTTTATTACGGAGTTTCGCTGTTTGGGGAGAAGGGTTGAAGGTGCTGACGAAGTGTTGGAGTTTAGGATCTAGGGTCAAGGGTGTCAGGGTTTAGGGTTTTGGGTTTAGGGTTCGATTCTCGATACCCCAAGCGCTGACTAAGTGTAGAGCATGGAATAACCTTGCACCTTGCCGGTACTCTAAACCCTCTTAAAACCCAACGTTTACCCGCCTTTCTCCATAGGAAACCTGGCCAGAAACACACCTAATCCCGCAGGTAAGCCCAAAACCCTAAACCCCAATCCTCGTCAGAGCCTGCAGGGCCCCGGGCTTATCTGCAAGCCCCCCTCCACTCCCGTCTGCCCCCCCGCCCCGACGCTCGCACCTTGCCTGCTCCGCCACCGAGCAGTCAACCTTCAACTATGGTTTGCTGAAGGAAGAAAAGGGGTCTGGGGTTTGGGGTTTAGGGTGTTTCTGTGTTTAGGGTTTAGGGGTTGGGGTTACTACTATATATGTGCTTAAGAACCCCGCCCCAAAACATGTTCTTCGTTATAAGAGCAGTCTTGGGATGATGATGTCTTTTTGTTTTTTTTGGTGGGGGGGGGGGGGTTCTTAAGCAAAAAGTCGTCCAACCGCTTGATAGTTCAATCCCTGCCTCAGCCCACGGGCTCAGGAAAAGTAACAAACCCCCCGCGGTAGTAGCCCTAAACCCTAAACCTAAACCCTAAACCCTAAACCCTAAACCCTAAACCCTAAACCCTAAACCCTAAACCCTAAACCCTAACCCCTAAACGGAGGGGGGGTAGAAGGGGAACCTATGAACAAAGCCCTGCCTTCTTCCCCTTGGAGAACTCAGCCCCCGACGCAAGAGGGGCGCAGCTCCCTGAGGCTTTGCGCGTCGACACCAAGGACATGGTCGGGGGTTTAGGGTTTAATGTTGTCTGCTGATTAGTGTGCCCCCCCCCCCCCCCCCCCCCCCCCCCCTCAACGAAAGGATCCCGCTCTTTAGAGGGGGGGGGGGGGGGGGGGCAATTTGGGGGGGGGGGGGGGTCTGGTTTTATATGATTTTAAAAGGGATGAGTTTATATGAATTTAAAAGGGATCCATATGATCCATATGATTTTAAAAGGGATGAGCTCGTATGAGTGTAAAAGGGATCCATATGATTCTAAACGGGGTGAGACTATATGAAATTAAGAGGGATCCATACGATTTTAAGAGGGATGAGTTTATATGAATTTAAAGGGGATCCATCTATCCCAACCAAGCCAGCCCGCAAAAAAAATATAATTCCGGGGGAGCAAACTTTTTATATTATACGGCATCCGGGCAGCTGCTGGACTACCCCCTTTGAAATTTGATTGCCCGGCCTCGGTACAAAAGAATTTTATAAGGAAATCTTAGTTTTGGGTCTGGCCTGGAGGCTGAAGATTTCAGGGCCCGACAACCTCAGGCCTCAAGGTTTAGGAAACCTCAGCCCTTAGGCCTCTGGATCCAAACCCAACTAGCCCGCAAAAAAAAATATAATTCCGGGGGAGCAAACTTTTATATTATACGGCATCCGGGCAGCTGCTGGACTACCCCCTTTGAAATTTGATTGCCCGGCCTCGGTACAAAAGAATTTAATAAGGAAATCTTAGCCCTGGGCCCGGCCTGGAGACTGAAGATTTCAGGGCCCGACAACCTCAGGCCTCAAGGTTTCAGTCTTTAAACTTTTGATCTTTGGTCTCTCAGGCTCGGTTCAGAAGCGATTTCTGGACGACAACACCATTCGACAGCCTCGCCGAAATTTTGCATCGCCCGATTTTTTTCACAATTCCGGGGGTCCTCCTCAAATAGATCCCCCTGAATAATTTTTGGATTTTTTTCCACAATTCCGGGGGAGCACACTAATCAGGATACAACATTAGGGTTCAGGGTTTTGGGTTTTGGGTTTAGGGTTTAGGGTTTAGGGTCCCTAAGGATGCATGTACCTGGGTAGTAGCAGCTTGGTCCGTCAAGCTACTGTCTGTACAGGAACCCCTTTGAGGCCCAAGTACATACTACATAGGCACATGGATCCTTAGGAGGGGTTTAAGGATTTAAGTTTAAGGTTTTTTTCCTCAGGGATGCCTTCCCTTAAAGGAACTACATTCCAGACCTTTAATTAGTGTTTGGGGTAAACCCTAAGCATACCCAGAGGTGGTTTACAAGTGATGGATACCTCGTTCTCTTAAGTCTTATGTAGTTCCTACTGAGGTTCAGTCTCGTTTTCATGTCAGGGAACGCTGTACATCCCTGAGTCCCAAACCCTCAAACTCTAAGAGCCACATCCGGTCAGCCCTAAGCCCTATAGCCCTGAACCCCAAACCCACCCTAAACCCCAAACCCTACTACCCTAAATCCTAAACCCTTAACCCCAAACCCCAAACCCCAAACCCTAAACCCTAAACCCTAAACCGTACTACTACCCTAAACCCTAAACCCTAAACCCTAAACCCTAAACCCTAAACCCTAAACCCTAAACCCTAAACCCTAAACCCTAAACCCTAAACCCTAAACCCTAAACCCCCTAAACCCTAAACCCTAAACCCTAAACCCTAAACCCTAAACCCTAAACCCTAAACCCTAAACCCTAAACCCGAACCCTTTACCTGCTATGGCCATGTGAGGATGCTGGCAGCGGGCTTGGGACTGGTGGTATGGCCACGACCCTCGGATCTTGGGGTTTAGGCTTCGGGTCCCCCAGGGTTTAGGGTTCAGGGTTTAGGGTTCAGGGTTTAGGGTTTAGGGTTTAGGGTTTAGGGTTTAGGGTTCAGGGTTTAGGGTTCAGGGTTTAGGGTTTAGGGTTTAGGGTTTAGGGTTTAGGGTTCAGGGTTTAGGGTTTAGGGTTTAGGGTTTAGGGTTTAGGGTTTAGGGTTTAGGTGTAGGGTTTAGGTTTTAGGGTTTTAGGGTCTTAGGGTCTTAGGGTCTTGGGGTCTTAGGGTCTTAGGGTTTAGGGTAAACCCTTACCCCTAAACCCGAAACGCTGCAAACCCTAAACTTGAGGGTTTTGGCTGTAGTCTTTTGGGGTTTCGGAATTTAAGTTTGCGCTTGGGGGCCTAAACCCTCAAAAAGAACAAACCTACATATGAAACTACGAACAAACCCAAACCCCAAACCCAAGCTCCTCGGCTTAAAGATGCGAAGGCTTGGGCTTCAAGCCAAGAGGGCGTCTACGGTTTTGTTTTTTTTGTTTTTTTCGGTGCCTAGGGTCTTTAGGGTTTAGGGATTTTCGGGGTTTTAGGGTGTTTTAGAGTTTTGGGGTGTTAGTCTTTTCGAGGTTTCGGGGTTTTTGGGACTTTTACCGTTTTGGGGTTTTTGAGTTTTGGGGTTTAGGGTTCAGACTCAGCCCACATTCCCCCACCCCTCCTGAAAGCCCAGTAGCCATGAGTTTCCCCCCCCCCCCCCGCCCCCCACTATGCTACCCTCTCCGAGGACTCCTGGGTTCCCCTTAAATCACCTTAACTAGGCTTAGTTATCCCTAGCCTTAGTTGTGGGGGGAACCTAGGGGGGTGGTATAGAGGGGGGTAGTAGGGAACCCATGAAGTAGCTTTTAGGGGTTCGGTTCGCTTGTGCGCCATGCAACAACAAGGTGGCATCTCTTTTTCGAAGCTCCGTGGAAACCCTAAACCCTAAGCCTTCGACCCTAAGCCCTAAAACCCTAAACCCTTAGGAAGATCTTGGCGGCACGCACGGCCTCGGTTTCCGGCGCGCCAACGGGCAGGGCAAAGGATGGAGTCTAGGATTTAGGGCTTGCGGTTTGGTTTACGGTCCAGGTTCGTGTTTCAGGCTTCTATTCAAAACGCCAAAACCCAAGACACCAAACCCCAGAACCCCAATACCCCAAACCCTAACACCCAAAAGCCCTAAAACCCTAAAGCCCTAACCCTAAAACCCGAAACCCGTAAAACCCTTAACCCTATAACCCTATAACCCTAAAACCCTAAAGCCCTAAAACCCTAAAACCCTTCAGGGTTTGGGGTTTGGGGTTTAGGGTTCTTCGTGGTTCAGGATGTGGGCCCCGGGAAGCCGGAAGCGACTGCTTTTGCACTGCCCTCCTCGACCCCCATTTCGGCAGCCCTTAAACCCTTGGCCCTGGTTTAGGGTTTAGGGTTTGGGGTTTACCCTAAACCCTAAACCCTAAACCCCAAAATGCCCTAGGCTCTAAATCCTAATTATCAAGCCCTAAACCCTACGCCCCTGTTTGTTCCTGGGGTTTAGGGTTCAGAGTTTACCCTAAGCCCTAAGCCCTAACCCCAAAACTGCCCTAAGATCTAGATCCTAAAGCCCTAAACCCTACGCCCCTGTTTGTTCCTACAGGTGTTGAGGGGTCCTGGCTCCAGCTTGGGACATGTTGTTGAGGTTTCGTCTGCGTGTTTGTTTGTTTTTTAATGGTTTGGGGTTTAGGGTTTAGGGTTTAGGGTTTAGGGTTTAGGGTTTAGGGTTTAGGGTGATCCCATTTGTCCCGTAAATCCTTACGTAACTTTGGGTGTCTTGAGTTATAAAGGGTCGAGGGTTTCGTCAGGAACCTTTCCTCTTGTGTGAGATACTCCCGAATTCATAAAAAAAGTCCTCAACCCTCAAACCTAAGCCCTCAAGCCTAAACAACCCTAAACCCTAAGGCCTCCACCCTAAACCCTAAGCCCTGAAGCCTTAAAACCTCGACCCTGAACTCGAAGCCCTCAACCCTGAACCCTAAGCCCTCAACCCTAAACGCTAAACCCGAAACCCTAAACCCTAATTAAACCCTAAACCCTAAACCCTAAACCCTAAACCCTAGCCCTACACCCTAATCCCTAAACCCTAACCCTAAACCCTCAACAGGCATCCCCTGCGTGCTGCTCAACTCCTGCTTCCCTCAACGCCTGCTGCTTGGCCTTCACGCTACACCCTGCACCCTAAACCCTAAACCCTAAACCCTAAACCCTAAACCCTAAACCCTAAACCCTTTAGGAGGGTCAGCCAAGGCTGGGGCTCCTGGACTTCACCCCGCCGGAAGCCATCGAGGAAGACCCTGGGACGACCGTTAGGGGTTTAGGGTTTAGGGTTTAGGGTTTAGGGTTTCGGGTTTTAGGGTTTAGGGGTTTAGGGTTTAGGTTTTGGGGTTTAGGGTGTTGGGGTTTTAGGGTTAGGGATTAGGGTTTAGGGTTGGGGGTTTATAGGGTTTAGGGTTTAGGATTTAGGGTTTTAGGGTTTAGGGATTGGGCTTTAGGGTTGGGGGTTTATAGGGTTTAGGGTTTGTAGGGTTTTAGGGTTTAGGGTTTCGGGTTTCCGGTTTAGGGTTTTAGGGTTTTAGGGTTTTAGGGTTTTAGGGTTTCAGGGTTTTAGGGTTTTAGGGTTTAGGGATTGGGTTTTAGGGTTTATGTTTAGGGTTTAGCATTTAGGGTTTAGGGTTTCGGGTTTAGGGGTTTAGGATTTAGGGTTTCGGGTTTAGGGGTTTAGGGGATAAGGTTTTAGGATTTAGGGTTTTAGGGTTTTAGGGTTTTAGGGTTTTAGGGTTTTAGGGTTTTAGGGTTTTAGGGTTTTAGGGTTTTAGGGATTGGGCTTTAGGATTGGGGGTTTATAGGGTTTAGATGCTTTAGGGTTTATAGGGCTTAGGGTTTAGGTTTAGGGTTTCGGGGTTAGGGGTTAGGGTTTAAGCTTTAGGGTTTAGGGTATAGGGTTTAGGTTTTAGGGTTTAGGTTTTAGGGTTTTAGGGTTTAGGGTTGGGGGGTTTATAGGGTTTAGGGTTTGCAGGGTTTAGGGTTCAGAGGCTTTAGGGTTGATAGGGTTTAGGGGATGGGGTTTAGTTTAGGTTTAGGCTTGAGGGTTTGGGGTTTAGGGTTTGCGGTTGAGGGTTTATAGGGTTTAGGGTTTATAGGGTCAAGGTTAGGGGTTAGGGGTTTTAGGTTTAGGGTTTAGGGTTTAGGGTGGAGGGTTGAGGGTGGAGGGTTGAGGGTTGAGGGGTTGAGGGTTGAGGGTTATAGGTTTAGGGTGTAAGGTTTAGGGTTCAGGGTCTGGGTTTTAGGGTTGTAGGGTTTATGGAATTCAGGGTGTTTAGGGTTTTGGGTTTGTAGGGTTTGTAGGATTTGAAGAGTTTGTAGGGCTTGTAGGTGTTGAAGGGCTTGTAGGGTTTGTGGGTTTGTAGGGTTTGTAGGATGTATAGGATTTATAGGTTTCATCGGGTTTGTAGGGTTTATAGGTTTTACAGGGTTTGTAGGGTTTATAGGGTTCACAGGGTTTGGAGAATTGAGGACGACGAGCACAGACGCGTGGCAGCCTTCAAACCGGCGAATGGCGAGCGCTTCGTTAGTCGTGGAATCAGTCCAGGCGCAGGTTCTCTCAGGGAGCAGGCTGTCTACCTCTTCATAGACCGTCTGACGGGTCGGCAGGCGGCTGTGCCGACCACGGCTCGACGCGAGTGCAGGCGTCAAAAGAAGCAAAGCTTTCAAGTCAAGGCAACGTGCTCATGGCAGGCCGCAAAAGAGAAGCAAGCCAAGGGTTTATGTAGGGTTATGGGGTTTATGTAGGGTTTGCAGGGTTTATAGGGTTTATAGGGTTTCGGGTTTATAGATTTACGTTTACAGGGTTTGGGGTTTTATAGGGTGTGGGGTTGAGGGTTTATGGGTTTAGTTTCAGAGCTTTGTATCCTAAACGCTAGAAAGACAAAACCCCTCAGGCCGGGCGCAGGTTGCGTGGTTTCGGTTGGAGGGCCTGGATGAGTGAGGTTTCAAAAACACGCGCACCAGAATTGGGGTCCTCCCAAGCTTCTCAAACTGACCTCCGACCCCAAGCCCTAAACCCTAAGCCCTAAACCCTAAACCCCAAACTCTAAACCCTAAACCCTAAACCCTGCCTGGGCCCAAGACGCCACGCACCTGGACTCAATCCCTGTCTAAGTTGCCTTGCTTCGATCCGGCAACACACAGACGCTCCCGAAGCCCAAAGCACGGTAAACATCCCTAAGCCCTCAACCCTAAACCCTAAACCCTAAACCCATCCTAAACCCTAAACCCTAAACCCTAAACCCATCCTAAGCCCTCAACCCTAAACCCTAAAAAAAAAACCAAAGCATCCCTAAGCCCCAGGCCCTAAACCCAACAACCCCCAACTCTAGATCCTGAGCTTGTAACCCTCAACTCGAAACTTTCCTAAGCCCTAGACCCTAGCTTGAGCCACTGTAAGTTGGGCCCCTATAGAATTACAGTCCCGGTTAAGGACTGTTAGTATAACGGGGAACATCTGAACCTATAAGCCTTAAACCCTATGCCCACGAAGCAAAAAAAACTTCAACCCCCGTGGGTCTGTCAACATCAGCGCTAGAAGCCTTGAACTCTCACTCTGAACCTGAGCCGCTGAGCCCTTAGCTATGGTTTTAGAGTTTAGGGTAAGTTTAGGGTTTAGGGTTTGGGCGGGGGGGGGGGGGGAGCATTGTCACATAATGATTTTGTAAGTATAACCCCTGAACACTGTAGGTAAATAGGGTCTCAGGCAACCACGAAACCCTGTCAACCCACATGAGGTAGGGTTTATATTACTGTTTTTGGTGAGTGTATATAAGGCTCCTTTTTAATATTGGTGAGTGCATATACTGGGTGGCCTTTTGGGGGCACCAGAAATATTTCACCCTAAACCCTAAACCCTAAACCCTGAACCCTAAAACCATCCTAAACCCGCAAAGGCGAAGCTGCCTGAGGAGGCGACGTATTTCATGGCCATGGCCACTGGGCCGGCCGGTTTAGGGTTTAGGGTTTGGGGTTTAGGGTTTAGTATTTAGGGTTTAGGGTTTAGGATTTAGGGTTTAGGGTTTGGGGTTTAGGGTTTTACATCCCAATCTCAGAGCCTGGCGTTCTATACGGGCTGGTGTTTACAGGCTCTGTTCCAAGCCAGAGGGCTCTGAAAGCCGGAGCCCTAAGCCCTAAGCCCTAAGCCCTAAACCCTAAACCCTAAACCCTAAACCAAAAGCCCGCTGTATTTAAGGGTAGTTCCCATGGGCACTTAATATGATCCCTTACCTGTTTTTGAGGGTTCTGAAGTATGGGCCCTTGGGCTGAATAGGCTGTACAAGGGGTATATCAGAGATCCCCGTGCACGGGCCCATGTAACAAGCCGTAGATGACCGGGGGCTTAAAGTCCACTACCCTTTTTAGCCTTTAGAAGGTCCTAGACCCCAAGCCCTAAACCCTAAACCCTAAACCCTAAACTCTAACCCCTAACCCCTAAACCCTAAACCCTAAACCCTAAAACCCTAAACCCTAAACCCTAAACCCGGCCCATACCACCCAAATGTCGTCTTTGGCCGATTTTGAGCGTAGAAGGGAACAAACCGAACTCCTAGAGTCTGGATTTTGACAGCCTCAGCACAGGCAGGGTTTAGGGTTTAGGGTTTCTAGGGTTTAGGGATTAGGGATTAGGGTTTAGGGTTTCAGACACGCCATGTTGCACGGTCGCAACTCTCTGTAGAACGACACCTAACGACCCTTTCACAGCGTTGTTTAGGATTGGGGGCTGAACCCTAAACCCTAAACCCTGAACCCTGAACCCTAAACCCTAAACCCTAAACCCTAAACCCTAAACCCTAAACCCTAAACCCTAAACCCTAAACCCTAAACCCTAGCCCTCAGCCTCAAATGGGCCCAGGACTGCACGCAGACGGTGCACGACACCCGGCGCTGGATCGTGTCGCTGCCAGTGGCTGGCGAGCTAACCTTGGATGATGGCGCTGCGAGAGTGCCCTGGCCGAAGGTTTAGGGTTTAGGGTTTAGGGTTTCGGTTTTAGGGTTCAGGGTTCAGGGTTTAGGGTTTAGGGACCCATAGCCGAAGGGTTTTCGGTTTTAGGGTAAGCACGAACTAGTGGCTCAACATCCGGTGCTTTCCCGACACGTTTCATCCATGAAATCTTATCTTCCGCCAGCAGGGCGTGGCCCTCCACTCACTGGTGCTTAAGAAACCCTAAACCCTAAACCCCAAACACTAAGGTGCTTAAGGGGGAGTCGAGAGTGAAGGTAGGCTGGGCTTAGGCTTTCTGGTTCAGGGTTCAGGGTTTAGGGTTTAGGGTTTAGGGTTTAGGGTGTAGGGTGTAGGGTGTAGGTTGCAGGGTTTAGGGGTTAGGGTTTAGGGTTTAGGGGGATCCCTAAACCCTTAAGCCCTTAAACCCCATGGTGCTTAAGGCCCAAGCCCAGGCTATGGCGCGATGTGGTTGACGGTCTCTAGGGTATTGGCCTTTGGGTTTATAGGGTATATCAGGGGTGTATAAGGCGTCCCCGTTTAGGGGCCCATGAATAGACATTTGGGTTTGGGGTTTTGGGCCTTTGGCGTTTTAGGGTTCTAGAGCATAGGGCTATAAGCTTAGGGTCGCAGTCCTGTATGGTATAGGGCCCAGGAGCATCCCAGTCTCGAGCAGGTGTTTCTTCGAGCCAGGTTTACGCAGTGCAATCCGGAAAACACACACAACATGTCCAGGCTCGAATGTAGTTCCTATCACAAAATGGGGCCCAAACCCTAAACCCTAAATCCTAAACCCTAAACCCTAAACCCTACACCCTAAACGAACCCCAAAAGGAGCTAAGACATTTGAGCTTCCGGATGAAGCCCTGAAGCCCCAAAGCCGAAGAACCCTGCACTTGAAGCTTCGCGTGACGTAGGGTTTAGGGTGTAGGGTTCAGGTTTTAGGTTTATAGTAGCGTGTAGAAACGTTCCCAAAACCTGAAAACCCTACATATTAATTTGCCGGGGTTGATTGAAGCCATCGGCTCCCTTTGCTGTAGAAGATGTGGTTTCGTATAGGGTTTAGGCTTTATAGGTTGTAGATTTGGATTTTGGGGTTTAGGGTTTTGGGTTTAGGGTTTAGGGTTTGGTGTTTAGGGTTTAGGGTTCAGGGCGCCGCGCAGGCGTGGTACATTCAGCTACTGTCCCCAAAAGATGTGTGGATTAGGGTTGGGAATAACAGGGCTTGGGTTGGCGGACGCTCCCACTAGGTTAAGGTATCAAAACAAGGTTCCCACAGTTTAGATTAACCCCCCAGATTCAAGTCTCCACGTCTCAAGACTTGCGGGACCCTAAACCGTATAACACTAAACCCTAAACCCTAAACCCTAAACCCTAAACCCTAAACCCTAAACCCTAAACCCTAAACCCCAAACCCTAAACCCTAAACCCTAAACCCGGCAAGCCAGGCTCTGGGTGCCAAGAAGAGCTTGCTGCCTGCGGGCATTCGCCAGGTACAGGGCACGTGCCAGAGCTGCGGTTATCAAGGGATAGCATGGGATTCTTAAGAGAAGGGTTTAGGGTTTAGGGTTTAGGGTTTAGGGTTTAGGGTTTAGGGTTTAGGGTTTAGGGTTTAGGGTTCAGGGTTTAGGGGTTAGGGGTTAGGGGTTAGGGGTTAGGGGTTAGGGGTTAGGGGTTAGGGGTTAGCGTTTAGGGTTTAGGGTTTAGGGTTTGTGGCTTAGGCTTCGGGATATGCCCCTGTTCAGGGTTTACGCGGGAAGCTTACCTGAAGCTTACCTGCAGCCCTAAACCCTAAGCCCTAAACCCGAAGCCCCAAACCTGGAAAGCCTATTAACCTGGGGGGCCCTGAACCCTAAGCCCTAAACCCTAAACCCAAACTCTCAACCCTACCTGAAACCACTAAGCCCTAAACCCTAAACCCTAAACCCTAAACCCTGGGAACCTGAATCCGGCTGGGGGGCTCAGGTTCATGCGAAACGAAGTCGTGCGGCTCAACCACGCAGGGCGCCTTGGACTTTGTAAGATGTGTTTCTGTTATCTCAGGCTTGGGGATTGGGGCTTTTGGCTTGGGGTTTAGGCCTTGGGGCTTGGGGCTTAGGGTTTAGGGTTTAGGGTTTACGCTTTAAGGTTTTGGTGATCTTGGGCTTCAAGGGTGTTTTTTCGTTTTTTGCAGCGGTTGCAAAGCTTGGGCTTTGGGTTGTATGAGCTGTTGTCGATGTTTTGTTTAAGGGATGTTGGTTCGGTTTTCTCGGGGCCTTCAGGGCTTTTTGTGCAGGACGGATTGCTCGAATCATTGTCCTGATCGTTTGCCAATTACAGGCATTTTATGTTTTGGGGTTGGTGGCTTGGATCCTACTGGTATGTTGGGTCCCCCGGCCCAACCTTTTTGCATGCAGTCGGAAAGTGGGGGGTTTAGGGTTGATGTTAGGGTTGAGAGGAGAGTAGAGGATTCGGGGTTTTGTGGGATTTAGGTTTCGGGTCTAGGGCCCCTAAACCCTAATCCCGAATCCCTCTCCAAACCCTACTCCCTAAACCCTAAACCCTAATCCCTCAACTTGACCCCTAATCCCTCAACCCGAAGCCCTCGTGGACGGGCGGCATGGCGGCCAGGAACGAGATTGCCCGAGGCATCGTGAACTTCAGCTCAGAGGAGTTGCAGGGGCCCCAGGCATGGAAAGGCTTGGGGTTTGGGGTTTAGGGTTTAGGGTTTAGGGTTCAGGGTTTAGGGTTTAGGGTTTAGAGCTTAGGCTTAGGGTTTGGGGTTTGGTGCTTTGGTGTTTAGTGGTGGAGAGGCCGCTTTGAAACGTGAAAGGCATTTGTTTTTTTTTGGGGGAGGGGGAGGGGGGGTTGAGGGTTTGCAGGTTGGCATCTAAGGCCTGAGCCCAATCAGCCCTTCAGGCTTTGGATTTAGGGTTGGGTGCTTACCCAGACCCCTGGGAGGATCCCAAAGATAGAGCCCCCAAAATAGTAACCTATACCACTATTGGGTGTCTTTATTGGGAACCCTTAAAGGGATCTTTTGGGATCCTCCCAGGAGTCCGGGCAGTAGGGTTCGACCACTTGGTACAGCGGGAAGCAACTTGCGATCAACAATCTGAGCCTCAACCCAGAGACTCCAATATCACTGAATTTCCGGCATATTTCGTAAATCCTAAACTTCTAAACGGGACCTATTGTGACGTAAGACGTGCTCGCAGTGCCGTCGAAGCATCCGCTGCTTCAAAAGATGAGCGCCTCAAGAACATCAGGGACAACATCGCGATGACGACCCTCCGCTCTGACAGCTCACAGAAAGCGCTGAGCATCCTCACCATCAGCGGGAAGTTCAAGCAAGTCATTGACCTTTGCAACAATCAAGGGGACGCCGCATTCACCAGTTCCCTCGCCACGACGATGACCAAAGAAGAAGCTAGCAAGGTCATGAAAGCAATCAGCACAAGAAACAACGTGAGGACACGCCTCAAGGTCATCACTGATGTCATCTTCAAGGGGGACTGGGTGGCAATGTCCGAGTTGAAAAGTCAAATAGAACTAGTAGAGAAGTCGTGCCTAGACTGTGTCGAGTTGCTTCTGGCGTCGCAATATGGCGAAGATCCTGAAAACCTTGAACCTTCTCCTCAATCCCCGAACCTAAATAGGCCCCTCAAGCCCCAACTCCTGAAAACCCCGAGACCTCAACCCCCACCCCCCACCTTCCCAAGCTGTCCGAACCACCAATGCAGCCAACAAAAACAGCCCTAACCCACTACACCCCTCAACTAGTCAGAGCCCCTAAACCTTAAGCCCCTGAATCCTAAAGCCTACACCTTAAACCCGCAAGCCACAAGACCAAGACCCTCATATCCCAAACCTCTAAAGCGTTTACGGTTCAGGGCCTAAGCCCAACTAGCCCAAAACCCTAAACCCCAGACCCTCTTGGACCCGAAAAACCCAACATCAGGCCCCTGAGACCCTGAAAGATAACCTATAAGCCCTTAATCCTCAAAGTAGGAATTCTTAGGGAAGACTCGGGTGAGCCAGAGAACCTAAACCCACTAACCCCCCAAAAGCAAAAGTTCTTCGGGCCATCGGGTGAACGCAGGGTTTGGGGCTTAGGGCTTAGATTTTAGGGTCTAGGGTTGTTACACTCTAATCCCTAAACCCCACTCCACACTTCAAACCCTAACCCTTACGCCCTCGACCCTAAACAATCGTACCCTAAACCTTTCTTTCAAGCCTTAAAACTCTAAACCCCCAAAGCCAGGGTCCAGGGAGCCGTAGGGTGGAACCCTAAACCCTAAACCCGCCCGCCACCCCACTCTCTTGTCTTTTGGGGTAGGCGGGCGCTGGTCGAGCGCTCAGTGAGACCCTGCGAGGGAGCCCCAGGCGGGCGACCGAGCTGGCCTCCAGGCAGGCTTACCCTCCAGGCAGGCACAGGCCGAGACAGCAGTTGTCATTGTTACTATAATGCCCTGAACCCCAAGCTGTCCCCGCACATTCTTGGCTCCTGCATTCGAGGGTGCCTGGGAAGGTTCTGGAGACCCCTGGGTCCCCAACCCCCGTCCGCTGGGCTGCGGGACCAGGGGCCGTTTTGTTGGGGCAAGGCTCTCCCCAAAAATTCCCTTTTTCTGACCCTCCCTTTGGCCCTCCCTGGCTCTGGCCCTGGCCCTGGCCCCGGCCCTGGCCCCGGCCCTTGCCCTGGCCCTGGCCCCTGGCCCTGGGTCTGGCCCTGGCCCTGGCCCTGGCCCCTCAACTGGCCCTGACCCTCTGCCCTTGTGCCCTGGCTCTGGCCTGTTCGAGTCATCTTGCCCCCTTGCGCCAAGCCAAGCTGTCCGCGCACGTGTTTCGGGGTGCTCTCCCTGGCTTTAGCCCCTTCGCACCAACCCAATCTGTCCTGCCTCGCTTGCGTTTGCTGCAACTTTGTGCCTGGTCCTGACCCTGGCCCGGCACCCCCTTCGCGCCGAGCCAAGCTAGCCGCCACACCAGCCCTGTTTCCGTGGCGCTCTGCCCAACCCAAGCTGTTCACTGTGTGTTCTTCCTGGCTG